AACCCGCTGGTCTACAAGGACCTCCGCATCCCCCCCATCCCCTACTACACTGAGCGCATGATCTTCACAGAGCTGGGGGCCTTGGACAACTCGGCCATCTTTGCTGACCCCCGGGACCCCGCGTACAGCGCCTCGGCCATCCCGACCGAGAAGATCCGGGGGAAGGTGCTCTTCGTGGTGGGGGAGGCCGACCGCAGCTTCAACAGCAAGCTCTTCGCAGAGCTGGCCATGGCGCGGATGCCACCAGAGAGCTGCCGCCTCCTCTCCTACCCCGGCGCCGGGCACTTGATCGAGCCCCCCGGCTCACCCCTCTGCAGCATCTCCAGCATTCGGGGCACCCCCCGGCCGGTGGCATGGGGGGGTGAAGCACAAGCCCATGCCAAAGCCCAAGACCACTCATGGCAGGAGATCGTCCAGTTCTTGGAGCTCCATCTTGGCCCTGCGGCCACCATGAAGCTATGATGGCTGTGGAAAAGAGGCGGGGGGGAGGGGCTGGGGGGACTTGTCCTGGTGGATAAAATGTTGCTGGTGCTGCTTGCTCCTTCCTGCACTCATGGGATGGGGGCACCGGCAGGTGGGATGGCCCCTATATGTCTGTAGGTACCTATACAGGCACAGCTACGGCTCAGGGAGGTGGGGGGATGTTGCTGATGCTGCTCTTTAATGAGGCATGAAGGTTTTAGGAGGGCTACAGCCAAACCCCCAGCTCTGCACGCCCTTTCACTGTCAGCCTGGGTTCAGTGCCAGTGCCTGCATCCAGCTGGGGGTGGATTTCAAATGCTCCCATGAGGCAGGGGTGGGTTAACCCCCTAAAACACTGAGGCTGGCACCTGGGCTGGGCTGGAGGATGGCAACAGGACACGTTCTCACCCGGCACGTGCCGGGGCAGGGTGCAGGAGCTGGCTGTGACCGTCACACCATCACGGTGGAGGTTGGAGTGGCTGTGTGGGAGTGACTGGGTTAAACCTGCAATAAAGATAAAAACCCAGAAGAGAAACTTCTGGAGAGGGAGCCCACAGAGCGCTGCACTCAGCAGCCACCCCAGGGGACCAAGGTCCTTTCACCCCATCAATGAGGCTGGGGTCCCCCACAGCACAGTCGGTGGGTGCCTGGTACAGCTGGTGGGACCATGACCACCCTTTCTCCTGGGCAGCACCCAGCCCACAAGGCATGAGAGTGAGGTGTCAGGGAGCACCCCAGAGCAGAGAAAGGGGGTGGCCGGGCCAAGGGGGTGGCCTGGGCACCCCTGTCCCTGTGCCACGCT